CGTGTTGGAAGCTTATTGATCGCCTGAGACCACGGGATTGGTGCCTGAGGTCGGGCAAGTCCGGCTTTCAGCCCTATCAGCAACGGTCACCCTTGGGTCTTCGCCCAGGCTACCACAGGGCCCCTTCGCATGGTCGACATGAATGCGGAGAGACCCTCAGTCGAAGAGTCATCATGACACGGAGGCAATCCCTCGTCGGGGAGAGATCGCAGATAAAAAAGCCACATCAAGATCGATGGCGCATGGTGCCTGTGCCGAGTGTGAAGATACAACATTTCTTGTCATGGCGAGAATGCCACCGAGCCTTGGCCCAAAGTTAGACTGCATTAGGGTGTGACTAGTGCTGACGCTGGACTCCGCCCCGCTCGGCTCATTCGTTCAACCTGTCCCCAGTTTCAGCCTCGCCTGGTCACCCTTTCCCTTTTTCTTTTTCATCCTCCCCCCCGGTATAAACCATGTGTGCCTGCCGCAGTCTCGAGAAGAGGAGATTCATGGAGAAGTCGCGACAACGGAACTTTGCCAACAAGAGGTCGCGGACTGGATGCCGGACCTGTCGGTGAGTCCTACGAGTAAATGCCCCGCGCGACTTTGTTGCCCGGCGTGAAACTAACCGTCGATCGCACACAGGGCCCGCCACGTCAAGTGTGATGAAGCCCCGGGGGCATGCGGAAACTGCACGTCGAGCGGTCGCTCCTGTGATGGCTACGACCTGCAACGGCTGCCGCCGCCGGCGAGATCCAGCAGGAAGCAGACGCCCTGGAGTCGGCTGCTCCCCGAGGTAGGCGGTGGCATTCGCTGGGTCACCAATACGGATGAGCGCCGCTGCTTCTCCTACTTCCAGTACTACACCATTCCGACCCTGTCGGGTTTCTTCAATTCGCTGCTGTGGGAAAAGCTCGTCCTGCAGATGAGCTATGCCGAACCCGCCGTGTACCATGCGGCTGTGGCGCTCAGTGCCATCCATCAGGATGTCGAAATGCACGGCATGCCCTTGCCCGGACAGGAGCTAGAGCTTTACAATACCTGGCATCGATTCACCATGGAACAGGCCGGGCGGTCGTTCGCCATTCTCAATGAACGCCATTTCTCCCAAGACCCGCGTCTGCGGGAGGTCATGCTGCTGTGCTGTCTCTTGTTTGTGCTGATGGAGCTTTTACGCGGACGATACGATGACGCCTTTCAGCACCTCGAGGGTGGTCTTCGGATATTGAACGAGCTGAAGGCTCAGAGACAACTCGTCACCTGGGCCCCGCATGGATCACCGGTAGAAGAAGCTCTTGTCGCCGCATTCGCACAGTTGGACATTCAAGCCGCGAGCTTCAAGATTGGAGGACCGATCTTACGCATCGAAGATGAGTTGGACGTCTGCGCCACGGAGGACTATCAGTTATTTTCTAATGTCCGTGAAGCGCGCCGTGCCATTGAGCCTCTTTTAAGTCGGGCCTTTGGCTTCCTCATGGACTGCTGGTCCAAGTCCGACAAAGAAATCATATGCAACTATAAAGGGCTACTACAGGGACAACAAAAGCTATTCTCTGAGTTGAACCACTTCTCGGCGCAGTTCGACACCTTCTATAATTACTCGTATACGCGACTGAATCGGAAAGATCAACGAGGTGCAGATATGATCAACATCCTCCGACATACCACATCCCTATCAATGCGAACGGCTCTCATCCGAGACGAGGTCTTACTGAGTCAATACCAGCCCGAGTACAAAGCCAACCTCGCCCTCATAGAAGCAGTAATGTACAAGTTCCGAGAGCGCCCCAACTACACTTTAGATATGGGTGTCGTCCCCCCGTTGTATATCATCTCGATCGGCTGTCCCGATTACAGCCTGCGCTGGCGGGCGATCGAGCTACTTCGGGCTTGGCCGCATCGCGAGGGGGTCTTTGACTCGAACTGGGCAGCTTTTATTGCAGAAGAGCATATTAAGACTGAGTTGCGGTTGCAAGGATTTCATGCGATTGATGGGCTATCGGGTTATGCGCGAGACGGTGGGAGTCCGACGAGTTCGGTGGAGTCTAAGGAGGATTCGAAAACAGAGGAGAAGTTGGAGAAGGGGCGATGGTCGACTTTGGGACAAGAGGAATATTCAATTGAACAGGGTCTGGAAAATACGAAATGTATGGAGGACTGGCCTTGTGTGCAGTCGCTTATGGCTGCGAGGCGGAGATGCACTCTTGGATACCCGTAGATAATTATATATATCCTGGCGATAACACGTATAGTAGCTATCGTGGCGGAAGAGAAAACAAAGGCATATCACGACTATAGTTTGAACCTCTATCTACAAATGTTCGAAGAAGTAGATGTTGGGTAAAATGTAAAAGCAAAAGCTCACCTCCTGTCTGACATGATCAGTACGGGTCGATGGGTCGGACTGTTGGTGGCTCGACACAAACAAACTTACTCGAGATCAACCTTCCCAAGCTCAACACGAGGTAGGCGACCTGCTTGTGCCTAGAGTGCGACTTTCTACCACGAGAAGTAGATTACTAAGGTCACCCTGGGCATTCATCCAAACTGTTTCGGATAACTGCCGAGTCCGAACGGTGGTTTCCAATGTCGTTTCAGCTAAAGTGCCAAGTTCTGGGTTAATCCAACCAGCTTCCTTTTACTCGACAAACAGGCACCGATCTCTTTTACCCATTTACCCAGGGAAGAATGATACATTCACAGCCTCCCCATCTTCTGCAGAAAGGCCCTGCATCCGCGGGTAGCTGAGGAGGCCCGATCTGCCGAAAGCGCCAGGGAGGCTAAAATGAAGGCCAGTTTGCGGGGACACTGCAGATCGCCATATTCTCCACCAACGGGAGGAAATAAAGTACCCGTCTAGCGTGGCCAATGTCGGCTTTTGTGGCCAGCCCTGGTGGATCCTCACTCAGGTCCGCTTTGTATTGGGAAAGGAATTACTGGCTTGAAGTATTAGGCTAAACGTGTCGTGTCTACCTCGGTGAAACAGGCTGAAGAATGGTACCTGCTAGGTCGATTGGGAATATAAATACGGCATTCGAGCTGGTTTCTGTCAATCACAACCGGGTCTATCTATTGCATTGTTATCAACTCTCGTAAACTATTCCCTTTCGTGAAAATGGTCCATCTCAAGGCACTTGCCAGCGGCACTCTCTTCGCCTCCCTCGCCTCGTCTGCCGTCATCAGTCGACAGGCTGCCGCCAGTATCAACGACGCCTTTGTCGCCCATGGAAAGAAGTACTTCGGTACCTGTTCGGACCAGGCTCTCTTGCAGAACGCCCAGAATGAGCCCATTGTCCGGGCGGACTTTGGCCAGCTGACTCCCGAGAATAGCATGAAATGGGATGCTCTTGAGCGTTTGTCTCCGAGTCTTTTGTGGTTGAATGTTTGCTGATGAAAGCAGCGAGTCAGGGTAGCTTTAGCTTTGGTGGAGCTGATTTCCTGGTGAGTGACTCGCTCTGGGGGAGTGGGTGTTGATGCTGACGAGGCATCTTAGGCCGATTATGCCAAAACCAATAACAAACTTGTGAGGGGGCATACTTTGGGTGTGTTGCCATTCTCCATGTGAACTTGGTTTAATCATCGATTGAGGCTAATACATGCATAGTCTGGCATTCGCAGCTCCCCTCCTGGGTGCAGGGTATCACCGACAAGGATACCCTGACTGAGGTGATCAAGAATCACATCACGACCATCATGCAGAGATATAAGGGTCAAATCTATGCCTGGGTACGTTTGTCATTGCGGATGCTCTTAATTTCAGCACTAACCCAGCGCAGGATGTCGTCAACGAGATCTTCGACGAAGACGGTACCCTGCGTGACAGTGTCTTTTCCCGGGTCCTGGGAGAGGACTTCGTCCGGATTGCCTTCGAGACTGCGCGTGAGGCGGACCCTGCCGCTAAGCTCTACATTAACGACTACAAGTAGGTTGCCATCCAGATGCACATACCTGTGGCTAACAATGTTAGCTTGGATTCTGCCGACTACGCCAAAACCCAGGGAATGGTCAACTACGTGAAGAAGTGGTTGGATGCTGGTGTTCCAATTGACGGCATTGGTAAGTTGTCACCGTTTCGTGGATAGAATAGCCTTCTAACTTAGCCCAGGCTCCCAATCTCACTATAGGTATGCCCTCCCCAATTTCGCCACGTGAGCTCTACTGACTGCTTAGTGCGAATGGCTTCCCCGTCTCCGGCGCCAAAGGATAAGTCTATACCTCCCACTATGAAATTAAAAACTAACACCAAGCACAGCTCTGACCGCGCTCGCCTCGACCGGTGTTTCCGAGGTTGCCGTAACCGAACTTGATATCGAAGGAGCTAGCCCCGAGTCTTACCTCGAAGTTGGTGAACTGTCCACTTGCTTCAGTAGAAATATGCTAACCAATACAGGTGGTCAACGCCTGTCTCGACATCACCTCCTGCGTCGGTATCACTGTGTGGGGTGTCTCCGACAAGGTACGTGTCTTATGGTTCTGGCTAGATAAGAAGAACCCGGACTAACATGCACAAAGGACTCATGGCGCTCCAGCAGCTCCCCGTTGCTCTTTGATAGCAACTACCAGGCCAAGGATGCGTATAACGCCATCATCAATGCTCTGTAATCAGCTTTGCCGGTATCTATCCGATGGACGTGAGTGGATTAGTCTGAGACGGTGAATATTCAAGAATCAGATACTTATCACAGCAGTCTTTTCTACTGCGGGGCATTTGCATTTGATGCTTAGTTACTGATCATTTCTGTACATACAATCAATTGAACTACCATTCATCTCTATGTAAAGATCTTCACTGGAGGATGAGGAATTCAACGTGTTTTGATTCACGCGCATAGCTTCACCATAGTAGCAACGACGTCAGCCTTTTTGCCTGAGGCACAAACGGACTACTTAATTCTTCGCTCACTTCTTTTCCTGATCTCGTTTTTTACTATCATACTCCCTACAGAGTCTTTGCCGTCTCTCAGAAACAACACAAGGCCTAACCTGTCTTGAAAACTTGTTCATCTGTGTATCCCATAATGTCACCCAACAGAGCTCCAGTCTCCCCTTCTAGAGAGCTGCAAAGTAAGACCTCAAAGATAGTCTCACCACCTTCTGCCCAAACTATCTTCAATGAAATAGTAGACAGAATACCTACAATAAGAAGCTTTACAGAGCTTGTCTTTGACGTGATCCCCCCTGAGGATGGCAACTTGATTTGTCGCTCCCTTGCCGCATCGGCCGTGGTCGAACAAAGTAACGCGAGGTATGATTGCCACTGAAGAGATATTGCTGTACTCAGCTGATGTATACTTGTCATGGCCTAGGGTAAACTACAACTCTCGAACCAAAACGCTGTGGGTACGAATCATGCCCACAGAGCTTCACGACGTCCACCAGAGATGGGTGAGGTATACGACTTCTCAATGGCAAGCTACAGGCATCCTAAATGCCGCAGAAGATAGGCTATTGGACATGGGCGTTGGCACCAGTATGTTGATTTCATACATCTCTATTCAGAATATGCTAATAAGCGAGTCCAGGGTTTGACACCTTTACTGGTCCATATGTGTTATCTTCAAAGGAGCCAGATTTATTCTTAAGACCAGATACAAGCGATCTACCCCTGATCGTTATTGAAAGCGGGTGGTCGGAGTCCTGGCCGCGGTTGCATTGTGACAAGGATCTCTGGTTGAATGGATCCAGCGAGGTCAATGTTGTGATTCTCCTTATGTGGTCGAAGATCTCGAATAATCGAGCAAAGGGAATGGCAGAGGTTTGGCGTAGAGGTGGCGATGGCCTTACCGTGTGCAAGAAAGCAGGCATTCCGCTATTATGGTAGTATGATTCAAGCTCCGAAGAGACTAATACTATTTGATTAGGTGATTTTCCCTGCTGCTAGTGCTGCGCCCGCCCCCGGTGCCGACGTTATCGAGCTCAGTAGAAGGGAAATCTTTGGCCAGCATGTGCTTCCCGGACGGAGCCACGCCGATCTGTTCCTTTTAGATCTGGAAGATCGGCGCAATTTTGCACAAGAGCGCATGGCGAAGAAGATGGGACTTACACCAGCTTGAACTAAAGATAGGGAAGGAGCTCACGAGCTCAATGGTCTGATAGTAGTTTACATCTGGGCGGATATCGTTGTGGAGCACTCGGCTACTAGTATTGACTTAACCGAAAATATACGGGCATATAAATCAATGCCATGGTAAATTGACATACAAGCTTATAGGGTTTTGGCCAGAAAATTCTAAGTTGGGATATTACTATGGCTACATTCAATACAGACCTAGAGAGGCTAACTATAGCATATCAGTGTCGTCCGGAGCTCATACTTGCTAGACCAACCGTCAAGAATGAGCATAGCATATGATGCTAGGATCTAGTATATATCAACAAATCAACCTTCGCACATTCCACAGTGCCTTTTCATGTAAAGCGTATTCACTCCTCCACCCCTGAGTAATAGGCATCCCACGAGAACCAATCAAACATACTATCAAAAGTCTTCCGAGGCGGATTACGGGAAGTGTCTCTGTCGCCGGCACCAGAGTGGCCACTGGCCAGGTTCTGACGACCAACATCAACGATAGGCCATGTGAGAGCCAGGTCGCAGGAAGCCATTCTAGGTAACTAGCGACGTCCGGCTCCCCCATGTCGACGTTTGGCTGAGTCTCACTATCTTTAGCGGAATCGGGGGCAAAATCGTTCATTGCTCGGTCACTGTAGGCCGACATATTGTAGTCGCCTGATGGCGATGTGCTGCAGTTTTCTGTGGATGTTACCATGTTGTCTGCTGTTGGGTCGGACGTGTGCTGACGGACGTAAGTTTGTGCCAGCTGAAGGAAAACGGCCGCGACGCGCTGTAGTCTGGTACAAACAGTCGCCAGTAGACGCATCTGGGATCGCATTTCCGCGTAATAAGTTACAGTCGTAGATAGCAGCTGCAGATCTTGTTCGACTGTAGGGGTCCAACAAGTATGATGGACGATATTTTCAAATATTACAAAGAAAGGGGTGAAGGGATAATACAGGAGCTGCCTGTTCAAATCGTATTAACATACGGGCTTAGCATGGTGAAAGGGATAGACTTCATACCAAACAACTCCATTGTATATCGAACTCCAATTGGACACCATTGAACTCAAGAGAGAGACAGCGTCACGAGCAGATGACAGTCGAAGAGACGAGTTTGATTCATCCCCTTTTAGCAGGATGATAAGAACGTGAAGGTAGTGAAATTTCATGCTATTAATACCCAGAGCCATCTCCTTGCGGTGACTTGCATTTGCCAAGACACATTCAGCGTTCATGGTGTCTGTAAGAACCTAGCTCGGAGGTAAGAACTTTCAAGGTTCAAAGGCTCTGATCAATGAGGAATTACTAACCTGGTTTGTGTCTTCATACCAGTCATCCAGTTTACCCCGAATATCCCCTTTTGCAGGTGAGGAAGCATCTGTCGCCAGGACATCTAAGACAAGTCCTATTAATTTCGAGAGTTCCGTAGATCTCTTGAAAAGCTGGGCACCGAACTTGGAAACCTTTTGCGCATTTTCCTCACCATCACGAAGGTGGAAACTGATCAGAATATCGTCGTCTGGCAACGGTACGTTCTGATACACGGCTGTCGGAAGAAACGCAGGGCGGCCAAATGCAAGAGAGCACGATTTATCCATGACAAAAAGAAGCCAAAAAAGGCAAAGTTGCTTTTGTCTCGACTCAGCTGAACGGTGACCCAATGCGTGCAACCCTAGAGCCTCGGCCTGCCGACAGGCGTGTCCCAGTAGCATCCACGACAGGTTGGGCGCAGCATAGTCTTCACCATGAGCGGCCAAGATAGTCAACGCCTGGACATTAGCTTCACGTGGTTCAAGGAAAATACGACTGTCATTAAGCGCTAGCTGTACGTTACGCCGCAGCTTTGCTGTCTCGCTGCTGGAATCATCCCCAGTTGATATATCGGATAGTAATAAGTAGTTGAAGTAGACAATCCATGCCTTTTCACGAACTTTGTGCGGCTCGAAAACAACCTGTCGGATCATATCATCAGTTGGAGCAGAAAAGAATGGTTCGCCAACCTCAGCAATCACCAAGAACTCTATTCGAAGAATGACAATCAGTTCTATTGTGAAAAGCCCAGTAGAACGGCTTACTGCTTATCAAGCGATATCCCACCGGCCGCGAGGGAACGTAAAAGCTCATAGTATCTTCCATGGTGCCTTGAGCTACTTGTGCTGAACCCAGGCTATTAGAGAGATATTGAAGCTCCGAGCGAGCGCTCTGACGAGTCTCGTGGCATGATGGCCGACGGATCGCATCGATGTTAGCTGGTGTCTCTTGTAAGAAAGTAAAGGAATGGGATGGCCCAATGTATAGGTCGGAATTCGAGTCATTCGCTGCAACTGCAACTGAGTGACTTGGTTCAGCTGGCTTTTGAGCGTTAATCGGTCTCGGGGGTACCGAAAGAATAGTTTGTAAAGCGTGATCGACAGAGTTTGTTAAACGTTGGACTGTGAGCTCCAGGTGCCGCAGTCGAGTTTCGATAGTAGTATGTTCCTTTGGCCTTCTTCACGAATTAGTTGAATCACAGCGTTCAGATCAGATAAATGTGGGTTGATCTCACACGCGACTGGGACTCGGCTGGGAAGAAGACGCCATCTCCCTCGAGTAGTGACAGCTCCCTGGCCATGGCTTGCAGGAGCTACATTTAGGAAGCTCGCGGGAGCATCTTAGAAGGATCAGTTAAGCGGTTCCTGCGATATCAATAGGTTGATGGAGTATACTTCAGTTTTTTTGTCGACAATAGTCACACTGTTAGGCGCTGATCAGTGGCGATAGCTATCGTCGGGTGTTTTCCCTTACCGCATATCGAGCAAATATCTGCGATGACTGCTAGCTTCCATTTCGGGGGGACTACCCGAAGGGTTCCGGCACAGCCGATGAGACAGATTGGTCTGCTGTATAGGATGAAATGAGTAGAAATGGAAGCGCCGAGGTATTAAATGAATATACATGAGGTTGGTGGTTGACTGGCTGCCGTCGGAGGTGCGTCCGAGTTCCACCAATCAGATGGATGCGAGCCGGACTTGCCGACATGCATTGTAGGGCACAATATAAAACAAGTCAAAGTATCAGATTCTAAATGCCCAGGGTATATTTTACTGATTTTCCTACTCAAGTGTTTTGGCCTAATTAGCTGAGCTTCAACATAGTTCGCAGCAATGGAGCCACAGCCCTCCATCGCAATAATCGGAGCAGGGCCAAGCGGTCTCGTATTCGCACGGCTCTTAGAATTGGGTGGTATCACGGACTATGTCATCTACGAGCGTGATGAGTCGGCGACACCCGGCCCCTGGCAGCAAGGAGGAACTCTCGATTTGCATGGGCCTTCTGGGCAGCTGGCCCTCAAGCGTGCCGGTTTATTTGACAAGTTCAGCAAGGAACTCGCCCGCTGGGAGGCATCCGGTTTGCGTATTGTCGACTCAACTGGGGAAACAGTTGTCCAAATAGGCGAGGGCTATGATGCTCCTGAGATCGACCGTCTCCAACTGCGCGAGCTTTTACTCGGCTCAGTGCCCGCGCATAAAATTTGTTGGGATCATGCCGTCAGTGCCATTGAGAGGAGGGCAGATGGCCGCATCCCGTCTGGTGATAACGGCTGTGTTATTCACTTTGTGAATGGCACTTCGACGACCGGGTTTCGGCTTATTGTTGGTGCTGATGGGGCTTGGAGCAAGGTGCGCCCTCTGGTACGTTGACAGGATATCCCTCCATCTTTGATCAAATGAATGCATCACTAACCATCTGCCGCTTAGCTCACCTCGGCAAAGCCGATATACTCAGGAAAGATGTTCATCGAAGGGAGCCTGTCGCATAACAATCCGAGCTACGCGATAGCCACCGAGATGGTGGGCCCGGGAAACATGGCAGCGTTGGGCAACGGAATTAAGATGGCAGTACAGCAGGTCTCCAATGGCACGTATCGCGTGTACTTTGGGTTGCCTGTACCTGAAGACTTTTACCGCCACCGTCAATATAGTACTATCACTGATACCGACACCGCTAGCAAAACTGAGGTTCTCCGACAGCTCCTCTTGTCGTCCAATGATTTCTACGCCACATGGGCACCGAAGCTCAAAGCTCTGGTCGAGACTGCTGAGGGCCCGTTCCGTGCATGGCCGTTGTACCGCATGGAACCTGGGTCAGTTGGTTGGACCCGTAATGTGGCTCCTGGAGTGACATTACTGGGAGATGCGGCGCATCTTTCGACACCTTTCGCTGGTGAAGGCGTTAACTGCAGCATGTATGATGCAGTTGTGCTAGTGGACCACATTATCGAGCAATGTGGTAACGATGTGAACCTTGTGAAAATGAAGGACACTGCGTTAGAAAAGGCCCTGAGTGCGTATGAAGAAGACATGTTTCTGCGCGGCCAGGACCTGATTCAGCGTAGTACGAAGAGCGAGACCATGCTCTTTGCTGAGAACGCTGCTGCACTTTTTTCCCCAATTGCTCGATCGGACTGGACAACTCGAGGGTGTTGAAGGATAAAACAGGAACTGGTAAACAAAACAGAAAATACACATATATCAAGCCCATTGGTACCATAGAAATCGCTCGACATAGTGCATCAAGAGCATGTTGGGGCTTTTCTGGGTTATCCTTGTTAATGGAGAAAGAATTCATTCATGTTTCCAACCTGAAACTGTAGGCCATGCATTAGGGCATTGCGATCCTCTAATAACAACCTCTTAGCGGAGCGGGTCCTCCCGTTCCGGTCATGGCGCGGGCGTAGTGCTTATTCCTTTAGCTTACCGTACCATACCTATTTACTAGGATTCATGGTATTCGCTATGAAAGTTCGGTAGTAGTACAGGGGTTTCTTTGTTCCCTGAGCCAACGCAGTCTTTTCTCGCTCTCTTTTCCCACACGCCCACTCTCCTCTTCTTCTGTCGGACCTCCTCGCTCCCTTGTCGATGGTTGAAAGATACGATAACAATGGCATCGGCAACCGTGACGCCAAAGTCTGGCTGGGTGCACCACCGGGTCACCCAGGGATTACATGCAGTAGCCAGCCAAGTGTGCCAACATCCCATTCATACGTTGCTGGTAACGTCCCTGATAGTCACGTCCACTTATCTCCATATTTTGGAAGGCGCCTTTCGCGCGGCCAATCTAGGTCTCGGTTCTAAGACTGACACAGCCTCTTTGAACGTCGAGTCATTGCTTTGGGGCAGCCGAAGCCTTCGGATTAGCGAGACAAGCTCGTGGAGATGGCAGGTAGACGACCTGTCTAAGACGACTAATGATGGCCAAGTATGATTGAAACATTTCTTTTGAGTTCCGTCGATCCCCAAAGCTTGCTTGCGTGCTGACTGTGACCGCATTGCCCTCGCTTTCTCTCTAATTAGGTTGATCACCACTGGGCTCTTGTCACTCTCACTTTCCCCGGTACCTCTACCAATATCCGCCCTGCCATACTGAACACACTGTCCGAGTCTGTGGATGCGGAGGCGATCGCACCGACCTCCAACTTCTTCACCTCAATCTCCAATGAATTCCTGCTGGCGTACCGAGTTCCGTACACCCAATTGAGCGATTTTCTAGAGGCCGTGGAGTTCGTTGCCTCGGATAAGGAGGGTCATAGCTGGGCGATTAGGTCTCCCCATGGAAAGGGCAGGCTTTCGCTGGCCCGTTCGTTGGGAGGCTCATGGCTCTCGTTCCTTTACCGGGCCAAACATGCCGAGACGGTCGATTTGGTCATCATCAGCTTAGGCTACCTCGCTTTGAATATGACCCTAGTCTCTCTCTTCCGAGCAATGCGTCACCTCGGCTCGCGCTTCTGGCTGGCAGCTCCGTGCTGCTTTCTGGGACGTTTGCCTTCGTGCTCGGACTCGGGGTAACGACAGCCTGCGGCGTGCCAGTCGACATGTCTCTACTCTCCGAAGGGATTCCCTTCTTGGTTTTGACCGTGGGGTTTGAGAAGCCGATCCACTTTACTCGTGCTGTCCTCCTCGCATCCAATAAACTCCAGCGTGGGTCACAGCAGCACCCTATGATCCCCAATACCATGCTATTCGCGATAAACACATATGGGTGGTCCATTGTGCGGTCGTATCTTCTCGAGGTCGGGGCTCTCGCATTGGGAGCGGTCCTCCGGCCACGGGAACGATTCGGGCAGTTCTGCTTTTTGGCTGCATGGATGGTGCTCTTCGACGCCATCCTTCTTTTTACCTTCTACACAACCATTCTCTGCGTCAAGTTGGAGGTGACCCGGATCCGGAACCCCGGCACCCTAGATCTGGCAGATGCGCAACGTGGGCCACGGATCTTCGGGTATAAGGTCAACCGGACCAGCGTGGCTCGGTGGAAGCTGATTATGGTCGGCGGGTTCGTGCTCTTCAACGTACTCCAGCTGTCATCATTCTTTTACCGCATCATGGGAAGTTCCATGACCAATGCCGCTTTGACTCCAACCACTGTCAGTCCGTTCAAAGTGGCTGCCAACGGCCTGAACGATATCTATTTGGCTGCTTGGGCCGGCAGAGTTGAAACACGGGTCACGGTGCTACCGCCGATCCGATATGTCATGGAATATTCTGGATTTCGTGTGCCTGCCGGGAGACATCCTGGATTTGACGGCGTGCTGGCCGGACTGAAAACACCCCTGGGGCGACTCTGCCTCATGAGCGCTTTGGTTCTTAGTCTTTACCTTGATAATCACCTGATTCACGCCGCCCGTTGGCATGTTTCTCCTGACGCACCGAAAGAATTTGTTGGATCTGCGCTCTCTTCGTCGCCCACCTCAGGCCTCAGTACTGCATCTGCCCCTACGCCCCCTTCTCGAAGCTTCGAGGAAATCGAGGCTCTGTTCAGAGCAAACCAGACGGATTCCCTGACGGATGACGAGCTGGCGGAGCTATGTCTCCGGGGCAAGATCCCTGGCTACAGATTGGAGAAGACCTTAGAGAACATTACCTCAGCAGGATCCCCAAGCACAGCAACAACTAGGCTAGAGGCATTCACCCGTGCGGTTCGCATCCGCCGGGCCGCCGTGTCGCGAACGCCTTCGACTCGGGACCTCAGCGGCAGTATCAAGAACTCGCTGCTCCCTTACCGCAACTACAACTACGAGCTAGTACACGGTGCCTGTTGCGAGAACGTGATCGGATATCTGCCCCTGCCCGTGGGTCTCGCCGGACCCATGGTGATTGACGGCCAGGCGTATTTCATCCCCATGGCCACGACTGAGGGTGTACTGGTTGCCAGCGCCAGCCGGGGATGCAAGGCAATCAACGCTGGTGGCGGTGCCGTGACGATTCTCAAGGGTGACGGGATGGCACGAGGCCCCTGCCTGGGATTCCCGTCAGCCAGACGTGCCGCCGAAGCTCAGCGCTGGGTGGAGTCCCCCGTCGGCCATCAGGTCCTGACCGACGCCTTCAACACCACCAGCCGGTTCGCCCGTCTGCAGACTCTGATGGTGGCCCAGGCCGGCACCTACCTCTATATCCGGTTCCGCACCACGACCGGCGACGCCATGGGTATGAACATGATCTCCAAAGGCGTGGAGAAGGCTTTACAGGTGATGACCGCCCATGGGTTCCCCGATATGAACACTATTACGCTGTCTGGTAACTTTTGCGCTGACAAGAAATCTGCTGCTATCAACTGGATCAGTGGTCGCGGCAAGTCAATCATCGCTGAAGCTACTATCCCCGCCGATACCGTCCGGAAGGTTCTGAAGACCGAAGTCGATGCGCTGGTTGAGCTAAATACAGCTAAGAACCTGGTGGGTAGCGCTATGCCGGGCAGTATGGGTGGATTCAACGCCCATGCATCCAACCTGGTTCAGGCCGTGTTCTTGGCTACCGGACAGGATCCCGCCCAGAATGTGGAGAGCAGCAGCTGTATCACGACGATGAAGAAGTAGGTCCCCCTTTATTTTCTTACCTCTCTGCTTCCCTTCAATATGGTATCAATTATACGAATATGGAATGTTCTAGGATCGACGGAAACCTGCACATCGCCGTCTCCATGCCCTCGATGGAGGTTGGAACCATCGGTGGAGGCACCATCCTTGAAGCCCAGGGGGCCATGTTGGACTTGCTGGGAGTCCGCGGCGCCCATCCCACCGACCCTGGTGGGAATGCCCGCCGCTTGGCCCGGATCATCGCCGCGGCCGTGCTGGCAGGAGAACTAAGTACCTGCTCCGCCCTGGCGGCCGGTCACTTGGTCAATGCCCATATGCAGCATAATCGAAGTGCGCCGTCATCGGGGAAGAAATAGCCCATTACATTCCGGCAATCGTAGGCTTTTCTTGACAATGCATGTGCAAAATGTTGAAGATAGGAGCTTAGAACAGTACTCAGTACAATACCATGCAATAATAATATACTAAGAGTCTTTGATACCTCCTGGCAATTGATTATAGGCAACGGTCCGGATTGTGATCAACGAATCACTCTTCTCGGACACCTCAAACGTAGCCAACCGGAAGACTGCCGGGACTTCCATTACAATCACGTCACATGCATGGGTGCAGCGCTGGATTATAAATACTATCGATGCATTCATCTTGGTCGTCCCCTCTTCCATTGTCTATCCATCCCTCCCTTGCCCACAATCTCTCCCTCTGCGGTGAAAAAAAGGCACAATGATGTCCATCACTCGCTACAAGGACCCAATCCCCGATGGTGCCCTCATCGTGACCACACTCGACGGAGCGGCCTTTGTCCAAAAGACATTCCCGCATGCCATTTTCTATCCCGAAAATAACGGCCACTACGCCAAGGATCCCGATGGCACTGTCATCGCCGTGGCATCGGATGCATTGTGTGAGGAAATCGACCGCAGAAACGCCGAGTTGGAAGCGAAAATTGCCGCGGGTGAGAAGCTGACCGATGAGTATGCGGTTTAGTCGGAGATGGTCTGGCGTGATCCTAGGGACAGGGGTTATGTCCCTGCTTATGGGGCTGTGGGATGTAACCTCATGCGGTGTGATGAGGTGGAAAATCAACTCGCAGCATTTTAATTGTCTGTGTCAGTTTATCACTATTATTCAACTCGCCTGTCCTCCCCAGAACAAAGCCCGTTTATCACTCACTCATCGTTCTTTTTCCGCTTCTTGTCTTACCTCTTGAGAATCTTCTCTGCCGTCGTTCGCAGGCTGGTTCTTCTCAGCATAGCCGCTACAACCTACGCAACCACCACTCGCTTTAACACTCCTCTCCTTGAAGGTGCAATCGTCCTGGACACCGAAAACAATCTTCGAGAATTTACTGCCTCCCACCCAGATGTCGATCTCGAGACCGTGGACGAAGGCTACACCATCAACGGGCCTAAGGATGCGATATTTGGTTACATCGGGGACCATCTTAGCAAAGAAATTGACGAGCGAATGAAGTCCATGGAGCTTTTCGAAAATCTCTTGGCCGAGAAAGGCGTGGTCGGAAAATGATGTATCTAAGGTCTTTGAAGCAGCCCGCAGTTGTGGCAATCCCTTCTGTGTTTACCCTGGGGTTCCAGGCAAATGCCAGCATTACACTCATTGCTATGTTTGCTCTCACGGCCATCGTTGTATCTAGTCGGCAGCAAGCAGCGCAGGTTTCTTCCAGACAATCTTATTATGGTTGTCCTTTGATCCTTCAGCAATATGAATGAACATCTAGTCTCTTTTTGTAAGTAATCAACTGCTCTTCCATCTTTTATGGAATAGTATGAGGGAGGTACCGCAGCAGTGGTGACTGTAGATTGAGGGCAGACGAAAGCCGAGGGTCTGTGTATTGAAAGGGTGTAACATATTCAATTCGCATGATGGCAAACAGATTCATGGCTAGGGAAACAAACCCCCCAGTAAGGTTTAATCACTCTCGAAGGTCATTCTCCACTATCGGTAGTATTTCCGCGCATTCTAAGGCTTACCATATGTATATGCCCGTGAATAGCATTTGACTAAGTATAAGTTGAGTTTGGTCTGGTCCGGCCGGATACCGTTGCCGAACATTAGGCTATAGATATAGCCGAAGATGTACGGATATGGAATCGACGCATAATTTATCCGATAGTTAAATGAGCTCATGTATAGGCAACAGTAGAGCTTCTCATTCATCTCTACAATACAACAACAATTGCTACTGACAGAACAAAATGACAACCACAACGCCACAACACTACCACATCTTCGGCCAGGGAATATCCCAAAGTCTCTCACCCACAATCCACAATGCCGCCTTCGCGCACTACGGCCTTCCACACCGATACGATATCAAAGAATGCAACAGTCTCCAAGACGTCAAGTCCATAATCGACGAACCAGCCTTCGGCGGCTCCAGCGTGACAATGCCCCATAAGCTGAGTGCCGGGGAGTTCTGTACCCAGGTCGCTGATTCTGCTACTCGCCTTGGGGCAATCAATACCCTCATTGCTCGGTTCGTTGACACTGGAGATGGAACATCGAAACGTGAAATTCATGGCGATAACACGGATTGGTCGGGTCTTTATTCCCTGATCAAGGAACATGCCGCTGGGGAGGCTAAGCAAGTTGGACTGGTCATTGGGGCTGGAGGCGCAGCGAGAGCAGGTGTTTATGCGATGGCACAAGCTGGAATTGAGCGGATTTACGTTGGGAATCGGACGCTGGCTAAGGCGGAGCAGATTGCGCGGGATTTTGAGGATCTATGCCCGGTTATACCGGTCAAGTTTCCATCGGCGCTGCCGGAAGCTCCGGATGTTATTATTGGGACTGTTCCCGGGGACGCTATGTCGCAGGAGTCGTTCAAGGGCTTGTTTGGAAACGAGAGGGGTCTCTGCATTGAGATGGCATATAAGCCAAGAGTGACCAATCTGCTGGCTGTGGCGAAGGAGAACCCCAGATGGATTACGGCAGATGGGGTAGAGGTACTTCTTCGACAGGGTTTTGAGCAGTTTCGCTTGTGGACCGGGTTGGATGCACCGGAGGCCGTTATGAGGAATGCTGTGGAGGCTGCTACAGGAAGCAAGGCCGGTGTGGCCTCGTCATTGTAATATAAAATGCAACTAAGAGATTACAATAGACGTGTGGACCAAACTTCCATATGAATCGGTAGAATAATGACGTGAATTTAGCGAGTATCTTTCTATTGTGGCTCAGATATGTCTCTTTAATCTGCTGTCAGACATGGCGCGTAGCCCTTCGGTAACGGTATGCTATACCATACACGCATTTTGTATCTCAGGTGCACGCTCTGAATGAGTTAAAGGTCTAGCAAATGAGGGTCACATTGGTGTTTTACTACTATGCAAAGATATTTGATAGAAGTCCAAATTCCTTAACCAAGCCTAACAGCGTACGACGTACATTTACCAGTCAACATCCTTTCCCTCCATCCAATCCCGGGCCTGGAAATAGAGCAAATCATGCTTTTGCCCATTGATAGTCGACCCTTCCCTGCGGTGACCAGGTAAATCCAAGAGCACCTTCACACCCATAGTTTCCTCCTGCATATAAGCCAAATACCTATATCCAGGAGGATACTTCTGCAATCTCTCCTCATCCAGAACCGGGACACGCCCCGGATTAACAGGAATCAACTTATCCTTCTCATACCAGTGCCGGACAAACCGAGCCCGCCACTGTCCCTGCAGGTCAGGATAGGCCGGATCCGTCATCTTTTCCCAGAAAAAGATAAACCGAGAGTCACTTTCCGCATCAGCCTCACATGTCCCGCCGGATACACAGCTGACGCCGCTAAACCGCTGCGTGATGGTTGCCTTCATCTTTGTTACGGCACGGGTGGCATTCGGGTCGATATCTGTTGTGCTTCCATGGATTCGGTGCATGATGAAGGCTCCCTTGTCCATTCCCGCTTGCGAGGCTTCGATGAATTTGAGATGGTGGGTTAACCCGGTCCACGTCGTGTAGATGTGTGCCTCCGGGTGGAAAATGGAGCGTAGGTTTTCCCATTCGCACGCGTCGCGATAGCATGGCCATCCCTCTGCTAGCTCGCGGAGCATGTAGCGCTCCAGGGCCAGTTGGGGTGGCCCGTTGTTGCGGATGGCATGTTCTGGCCGTGTGCCAGCGGGAAGAGAGTGGAGGTCGGGCATTTTGAAGGAAGATATGTTTTGTAAATAGTAAGGGAAGCTTTATGAAATTCTAGAGAAGGACGTCAACCAGCGCAAAGAGACAGTCCTAAATAATTACACCTGCGGAGCCATACTTCCGGGGACCAACACGCATCGACGTCCAGGTAGTCGGGTAAATCCTCCCCGGATCGCTGTGTTCACAGCCGATCTATTGTGCTTAAGAAGATATGGTGGCGTCTACCACAACACACATTAATCTACACGGAAATCACCGCCTCTATCAGTTCAGCATCACTTCATTTGCGTCTTCCATAATAATGCCCTCAGAAACAGATCCCCGTGCCTATGCATACCTCGTTGGCGTTGGAGTGACCCACTCTATCGCTCCACCCATGCATAACTACATCGCAAAAGCACTAGGTCATGACTGGACATTCCTGGCGAAAGAGTGTCCGACAGTTGAAGACGCAGTGCAACTATTTCGACGATCGGACTTCGCCGGTGGAGTGGTGACCATGCCTTACAAGCGCACCATCATGGACCACCTGGACGGTCTGGACGAATACGCCATCCGGCTGGGGGCGTGCAACAACGTATACCGGACGTCTGACGGAAAGCTAAGAGGTACCAATACAGACTGGCGAGGAATTAAGGGTTGCTTACTGGGAGCGAGCGCAGCAGGCAGGGGAAAGCCGGCTGTGCTCATTGGCGCTGGAGGAGCGGCGCGGGCGGCAATATTCACCCTGCACGACCAACTGGAGTGCCGTCAGATCTATCTGGTGAATCGAGACCGCGATGAAGTCAACGTCCTCTTGGACGAAGCAAAACAGGTGTATGGCGATGGCTTGGAAATAATTTACGTCGAGCGAGCCGAGCAGGTCACTACTCTTCCATCGCCGTATTACATCGTGGGGACTGTTCCGGATGCCGAACCCAGCACCCCAGATGAACTTCAGGTTCACCAAATCATCGGATCATTCTTGTCAACCCCTCAAGAGAAGGGTGTTCTACTCGATATGTGCTTCAAGCCACGAAATACGCGCATCCTGCAAGCTGGAAAGGCAAACGGCTGGAGGACCGTTGAGGGAACCGAGATCATCGGCCACCAGATCCATGAGCAGTATCGACTATGGTGCGGCGAGGAAGAAAGTAGTAGAATCCCTGTGAATGAGGCCTGGAATGTGCTTCGCAAGGCGGCCGAGGAAAGTCCGGCGATCAATTTCTAAATTGGGGAGGTTTCCTTGGGGAATTATGCATTTTTTAGATAGATGATCGGACATTCTTCCGATTCTTCAAGTTCGGTTAAGAATAGTGCCGTTACCACTTAATATATGTACAGGACCAGTGGCTCGAACCATAGTATCCATCCTTTTCAGTTTCCTTTATAATTGTGGACTGCTTATTGTTCTGCACGTATCCTGTCGTTGTACCTCGTTGTTGATACGCCAAAATGCCTTGTGAGCCAGCAATCGCATCCATGTCCTTGGGAAGAGCCTGGGTACATTCTCTCCCCGAAAAGCTCGCCCAGGCAGCGAAAGCAGGATTTAAAGGTGTCGAAATATTTTACGAAGATTTGGAATATCTCGCTAAAGAAAAAGGGCCCGTTACTGAGTCAACCTTACTTTCTGCCGCTCAAGAAACGAGAGCAATCTGCGACCACCATGGCCTTAAAGTGATTGGAATGCAACCATTCTTGTTCTATGAAGGCTTAACGGATCGAGCCAAGCACCAGGAAAAGATCGAGCGCCTTAAGCTGTGGTTTGTCATAGTCAAGATTCTGGGCACCGATATCATCCAAATACCTTCTAACTTTCAAGCCGACGGAATATCGGGTGATCTGGATTTGATTGTTTCCGACATGATCGAAGTCGCAGACCTGGGACTGAAAGAGGAGCCTGTCGTCCGATTTGCATATGAGAATCTCGCCTGGGGTACTTTCATTTCAACGTGGGAGAGTTTGTGGGAGGTGGTTCGGCGCGTGGACCGGCCTAATTTCGGGTGTTGTCTGGACACCTTCAACATCGCCGGACGGGTATGGGCCGACCCTGCCAGTATCTCTGGTAAGACAACAAATGCAGACGCGGCATTGGCTACGTCATTAGAGAACCTTGTTCGGACGGTCGATGTGAACAAGGTGTTTTACGTGCAGGTTGTCGACGCAGAAAGAATGCAACAGCCGTTGATCGAGGGCCATCCTTTTTATGTCGAAGGACAGCCGGCGCGGATGAGCTGGAGTCGCAATGCCAGACTGTTCCTCTATGAGCAAGAGCGCGGTGGTTATCTCCCAGTAGTACAGGTAGCTGAAGCATTCTTGAAAGGTCTTGGCTTTGAAGGGTGGGTGTCAATGGAGTTGTTTTCGAGGTCGATGGCCGATCCAGATTCGACAGTGCCAGAGACACATGCACAACGGGGCATTAAAGCTTGGAAGAGGCTGGCGGAGGAGCTGGATCTCTAGGATGGCTCGTTGTGTATCTATTATTTCAGACGATATTTCCTAGTTGCATTCTCATAATCAAGGATTACAGATGAGTGTCAATCGTGAGTTGGTTGTTGCAGCTCGGCAACAAAGTCTGTTACCAGGTTCCCGGCATGGAAGCCCAGGTTATGTGCAAATGTAGGTTCGTGGCTGTAAAGTGTTAGCATGGACTGAAACTGACGGTGTCCTGGATAGCTTGCAGCATACCTCATCGGCGTAATGGAAGCAATCATCTCCTCAAACAAAGCGTCAAAGTTTCCGGTTTCATCCAGAAGATGCGGCGTTTGTCGATGAATGGGGGAAACCGGGGTAGGGATAGTAGGTGCTACTGTCAATTCAGGTGTGTCAGAGAGGCCAGAGATCGGGTAGCTCGAAGGATTACGAATGGTGGTAGGACTGATAATGGGGGTAGTTGCATGACCATGAGGCATGTTAGCCGGTATGTGCGCAGTAAATGCATGGTGCAGGGCGTGCGTCCCAGGAAGCAGATGGTCCATGTCCTCTACATTCCAGCCCGGTCGCGTGTGGCTTGTATAGGATCTGTTGAAACTCGTAGGACTGGCCAATTTCAGTTTACCCATGAGCTGGCCGCAACGCTTCTGCAACACATCCTCCTCACCACAACCGCTAATCAGGCAACTTGTGCGTAAACATCGTTGTGCCTGGAAAAAGAACCAATACAGAAGTGGAGAAGATTTCGTTTCGCCTGTGATCTCAATGTAATCATGAAGCAAATCGAGGCACGTTCGTAGTCCATGGAGTGCCATGTCGGTAATGGTCACATCGTCAAAGTTACATTTGCTAACCAAGCACAACGTAACAAAGACTGATGTGAGGTGTAAATTCAGCAGTGGAGGGTTAGGTGAGTGGCGCGGCGGATATGGGCAGCGTGTTGAAAGAATTGATTGCCAGTCTCTTAGCTTGGCTACAATGTGTTGTATGGCCTCTTGTCGGGGTGGACAGTACAAGACTCGGGTCAGTAACTGCATGAGTTGATGGGCCATATTAAACATGCTTAAGGCTCGCAATGGCCCCTTTTGAGTAGCTCTTTGGCTCGAGGCTTGACCAGGAGCTGTCCATGTCTCCCATTCCTCCAGATCGTCCTCCGCGACGGGTTGATTTTCACTCTGTTCCTCCAAAGAGAGACACGGAGTCCTTTCGAGAAGTGCAGAAACCATGTTATCAAGAAACACACAGCCTTGAAAAACGTGTGAGTATCTCGTTTTTCTCGCCGTTTCGGGGAGGGTAATGACAACCCTCATAGCTTGACCGATGAGCACCCAGGCTTGATTTAGGTTTCCACAACCAACATTCAGGAGAGCCACAATGAGGAGGGTCTGGACGTGACTCAATTCTAGATTGTTGAAATCCAGCATCAGGCGCAAGCGTATGGAGGTTTCTATCTGTCTCGGTTCGGAACAAGTCTCTAAGCTTGCTCCTTCTCGCATCAGTTGTACATATGCAATAATAGCCCATAGGACTAATGGATAGCCTGCGTCATGATTCTTTGAAGAAGTGTCACCGTGCATAGTCCTCAGGATCTCACGTCGGTCCAGGATAGGGAACCAGCATTGAATGTGAACAAAGTAGAACTCCACCAGCTCCGCCACGTCGTCTGGGAATGGCAAGCTTAGAATGTCATTGGATGCAGCTGGATGTGATGGAGGTGGAGGTGGGATAGAGTCCGTATCAGCATTCGAGACATTCATTGGATTCTGGGTCGTCCGCTCCGGACTATGTGTGTCGCAAGATTCCCATTGGCGGTCATCGTCATCACCGAGAGGGTCGTATATTTCGTCTTGTGATTCAGATGCTAATAGGCGACTCACGCCTTTGGCAACTTTGGAATTGCGCCAGGTCGCCGTACACCTTTCTGCCAATTCAGTGGCGAAAAAGCCGCCGTGATGTTGAGGGTCACGAAGAAAGCTTTGAACTGCGTTTTCACTGTCAGGGATTTGCTGGAAAACGATTCCCAGAACAGTCTCAAGGGCCTTGACGTAGCCAGTTTGCAATCCGCGCCGTCGACCGTTGTCCTGGTATGTGCATCGCCGGCCCGCCTGGCGGCAGATCGCACACTCTGGTTGCTCTCCGTCGCATTTGGATTTACGGCGACGACACTGGTCACAAGCGCGACTAATCCGCTGACGCTTGTTTGAATGAGATCTTGGCATCTCTTCAAATATGCTGGACTGAGACCGTCAGCATGGTATACTCGCTAGTAGTTGAGGTCATCGTCGTATATCCAACGAGGACATGGGCGGACGCACGTGATCGGCTATGGAATTAACCGATGGAGCATTCGGAACTCTGACATCAAGATCCAAACGATCTCGCTGTGTATGGGTTCAAACAATGTGATTCTTTCTGAACATATGCGCACTGACGATGAGCTTTCACGTATCTAGTAGCAATGCGCACCACAATGGACTCCCATCGTCTTCTCGACGATATAGTTCGGACGCTAGCCTGGCGCTGGTCGGATTTCCCGGGGCGGGCAAGAAAACCCTAGGGATCATGGCAGCTGTGGCGTTGCGCCGACGGCTTGTTGACTTTGTCGCTTTTTTCCAACAAAGGCATGGTATGCCTCCGCATGGCTACATTGCTGCACATGGGTCTGAACAATATCGCAAATGTGAGCTAGAAGTGACCGAGGAGATTTTAACTGAACATCGAAAAGGATGTGTGATCGTTGGACTCGGTTGGCTGGCAAGCAGACAACAGCAAGTATTATTGGAGGAGTTCGCTTCTTGTCACCCAGTCCTGTACATCCGTCGAGATCGAAGCGATTTGCAGCAGCTTATCGCTACTAGCCAGGACAAGTTCGAGCGCATGTGGGAGGCTGGAAATGCATTCTTTGAATCCTGTTCCAGCCTGGAATTTTACAACGTCACAGAAGGCTCGACCGACGAGTCTCACTCGGCACTACCTGCGTATCTCAAGTTGAAAGAGACAGAGAGAACGTTCGTAAGGTTTCTCCATCGGATCTGGGGTCGTGAACACCGAACTCGTTATTCAGCGGATCCCTTCTCTGCGTCGTACACATATGCTTTGCAGCTGCCAATGGCTTGCTTAGAGGGACAGCTCAAAACTTATGATGAGATCGACAATGGGGCGGATGCAATAAACCTGAAGGTTGAGCTTTTAGATCTCCAGGGCAGAAGGCCATCTGAGGCAGTCGCAAGAGCTGTAGCCATGCTTAGGAGGCACTCACGGGCCCTGGTGATCGTAGACATCATTCCATCCTCTGTGCCGGATATAAAGAGCTATCGCAAGCTCTTGGGGATGATCTTACGCACTATACCGGATGCTATCACTTGCTCCTTAGCTTGTGGGGATGACCTGGCGCAGGAGGTAGTTGCTGGCAAGGGTTATACCAAGGCCATAGCCACCTATCACCAGGAATGTTCTTTAGCGAAGAGTGAAACACTCCCCGAGCTTGTCGCCCTCCGTCATAAAGCGCAAGGTATTGGTTTCGACGCATTCCAGATAACCGGCGAATCAACAGCACCCGGAGACAATTTTCCCGGTATGCCTTTTTCACACAGTCTCGCCAGAGACTCTCTCATACCCACCATCGCATACGACACGGGGCTCTTTGGGCGCACCTCTGTTTGTTTGAATCCAACCTTGTCGCCGGTAGTGCTGGAAACCATGAGATCGACAGGTGTTACCTTGCGGGAAGCGGAGATGGCCGTGTCAGCATGCTTCCTACGTCGCAAGAAGAAATTCGGTATTTTTGGGCAACAACTATCGCACACTCTGTCACCGGCGATGCACAACGCGGCCTACGCTGCGTGTGGACTACCCTATACATATGGCACAGCAGAACGAGAAAGGCTATCTGATATTCGCGAATTCTTGGACGACGAGAGCTATGGAGGTGTGGCGGTAACGCTTCCCTACAAAACTGAAGTTCTTCCGTACCTGGACGAGATCAGCCCAGACGCCCTGGATATCAACGCCGTGAATACAGTGGTCCTTCATCGTGAGTACCAGCCGAATGGAGTACGCAAAGTCATTCGCAAAGGCTATAACACGGACTACCTTGGAATCCAAGATTGCATCTATAAGCACCTTTCCCCAGCAAATGCCATCCGTGATGGATCAACTGCCCTGATCATCGGTGCTGGCGGCATGGCCCATGCCGCGATATACGCGAGCTACCAGCTTGGTGTGAGGCACATATGTGTCTATAACCGGACCCTTTCTAATGCTCAACGTCTTGTTGACTACTATCGTGACTGGGTGGAATCAAAGAATAAGGCCCCTTTACATCTGACCATACTGTCATCACCGGATGACCCGTGGCCAGCTCACCTTCGCCAACCCACAATCATTGTGTCCTGTATTCCTGGGCAGAGGTGCGATATTGAATCATCAAGTGCTTTGCGCATTGCCGACCAATGGTTACAAAGCAAAACCGGCGGAGTCTTTGTTGAGGTGAGGACTTTGCCCAATTAGCAGAATATCTTATACTAATAGCTGTAGGTTGCCTATGACCCCCTGGAAACGCGCCTAATAAAGTCGATGAGGGAACATGTATCACGAGGCTGGATCATCGTTGATGGCCTGTCCGTCTTAGTCGAGCAGGGTATTGCGCAGTATGAGCTCTTTACAAATCGACCAGCGCCAGTTCATGTCATGAGACGTGCCATTCAGCAGTCGATTCGAGATAGGGGTGTTTGATCGTTACAGGAGGATACGGATGGCTATGATGTATTAGCTAGGTGTATCCGTGATTCTCACGCTGAGGCAAAGCCCACCATATTATATCCGCATGTTCTTGCCTGAAGATCTACCTGTACTAGATAGATATGATATCACTAATTCCAGAAGAGCACATTATGTTAAGATACCTCAATCGGTGTTTGGTAGCTACCCATTATAAGCCTCGTCTCGACGAGACAGCAATATGGTACCCCTTTTCTCGAATGAAGCCATATATACAAGCATCGAATGGTTCCTCCCAACCCCAAGCT